ACGAATTGAGTCCGGCCTGATAGATATGACTTTAGCCACGTTATTAAGTTGATCGGCAGGTTGAAAGAGCTGAGTTTACGAATCAACATGTTGTGGTGAACTCTATCAAATGCTTTGCTGAAATCCGTGTAGAATACATCAACTTGAGCTCCCGAATTTATGCTGTTCTGCACATAGTAAGTGAATTCAGTAAGATTTGATGCTGTGGATCTCGAGCGCATAAAGCCGTGTTGTTTACAAGTGATTTTGTTTTGGACCAAAGCAAGTAGTTTAACATTCACGAGGTGCTCGAAAATTTTTGCCAGTGTCTGCAGTTTGGCAATGCCTCTGTAATTTTCGACTTTCGATCTTCCTCCCTTTTTATATATGGGCGTGACACTAGATCGCTTCCATTTATCTGGAAAATGACCAAGATGAAGTGATTCATTAAATATTTCGGTGAGTGGTGCAGCGAGTTGGTAAGCACAGTTTTTCAGCACCATAGTATGGATACCATCTGGGCCCACTCCCTTCTTGGTATTAATCGCTCTCAGCTCTTCTAGTATAAAGCCCTGGTCGAGCTTGGAATTGCCCAGATTTTCAGGCGCAACTTGTGGCGGTTGAGTATAAATTGATTGTGTCTCGTCATAATTGCTGGCAAAAAAATTCCCGAACATATTGGCCTGTTCATTTTCATCCGATGAACGGTTTACCCCCAGCTGCAGTATTTTTGGTTTGTTATCCGTGCTTTTCTTCGAATTGACATAACGCCAAAACGATGTTGGATCTTGTTTGAGTGAAGATTTTTTTAGCCACGTCTCCGTTAGAATGATGAGGTCATAATCGTAGGATGTAGATGTGCAATAAAAACGTTTATATTTGCTACCGAGGCCTCGTGAATTTTGATAATAAACCGAGACCCGTGTCATACTAGAGTCAGTAGACGAGCAAACAGGGTTTAATGGCGATTTTCCGAACGATGGTCGTAACGATTTTCTGCGCAAACTTCGTGGCAATGATAACATTTGGACTTTGGCTGGCTGCAACACAATTTCTGACACTGTGATGGTCGATGTCGCTGTTGATGTTGTTTTGGCTGAAATTTCGGTGCTGCTTCGGTTCTCATAAATTTCTTGCGTTGACCCTTGACGCTGATGCCTTTCACGTTTTTTTGACTGTTTTTTGTTGGTCTTCAATTTTGGCATTGTGAATGGATTTTTTGTAATTATGGTGTTTGCGCGAGCAAGAGTTTCGCGCTTTGTAATAAACTCTTTGACAGTAAGTTTATCTTCGCCTTCGCTTTGCCAAATAGCTGGATCCGAAATTATATCGAAATGATGTCTTGGCACATCCAGTTTGAAAGAGACAAAGGATAGACGACGATTTTTCCGCTTGTCAGACATCAACTTGATGCACTCAATGTAAGGCACAATGTGTTTAAGATCATCAAATGAGTGCAAATGATCCAAGATATTGGCCGACTCGATAGAAGTGCAAGCACTTTTTGTTGTTTTGATCGCGGACTTACACCTAGTGTTGATGTGTCCAACTTGCGTTTACGACGTACTGAATTTACGTTTGTGAAATCACTTGCAAATGACGCCGTAGACGATGATCCACTATTGTTTAGTTGTTGAGACGGCAATGAATTTGGCGGTGATAATTCCATATGTTCGGTTTCATTGTTAGTTTCGATAACCTCGTCAGTAATTTGGTTGATTGAAACGCTTTGATGTGCAGTAACATTGTTGCCGATACCGATTGTCGGTGGAAATGCACTCGAATTGAGTGTTGTCAAAAAATTATCTAAAATTAATTTGATAACAATTCGGCCAATCGATTTGATAATTCTGTTGCGATTTGAGCTTGTGCGGTAAATGGTAACATCACACAGTTGTCACAGAACCAATGAAGATTTTGAATTTTGTTCAAGTATCCCACCAATGGATTTTTGTAGTTGCTATTGTTTGATGAAAGGCAAGAAATGTGAGAATATTTTCCGCAGGGCCCACTACATTTGAGAGAATGGCTATCTGAAGGCAAATTACATGAAACACATTCCATGATTAGGGTTATGATTCACAATAACAATACTAACGTAGTCAACACGACGTATAAAATTCGATATTTTTCTGGTTTAAATATATTAACAGCTAAAAACTTCAATTTGCTGACGAAGACACAACAAAAATGAACTAAACAATACCAAAATGGTTTTAAAAGACTGCATAAAAATATATTAATTTTAACAAAAACTGAATATTTATAGTGGACACAAAAAAAAGTGACTTTTTTGTTTGACAGTTGGTTTGGAATTATACAAATCAAGAAAAAACCATTTTTTCATTAAAACATTTTCTTTTCAATAATATATATTTTTACAATTTGTACTCTGGCAAGTACTTGTACTTAGCAAATACTTGTACTCTAGTATTTACAAGAGTATGTTATATAATATATTGGAATATATTGGTGGCATATTGATGGCATATTTGAAAAAAGTGGTTTCATATTCGTATACGAATATAAACCAATGTGTCGCAAATATTTGTCAATAAATTGCGACTATATACACGCAATATCCCCCTAGGTGGCAGATAAGCGTTCAATTTACAAACCGTTCAAAAAAACCAACGTTCACAGAAAATTGATAGTTTTTCATTGCAATATAAATTTAATAAATTAAATAAAATTAATGCCCCTAAATTTTCTAAAAACAATTTATTTATTTTTAAACCATTTTTTCATCGTAAACTTTTAATGCAATTATTAATGTAAAAATATAATTATTTATTAAATGAAGTCATCAAGTTTGACATCACAAAAAAGTTTATAAACATACGTATTGCGCCGATGGGAACTAGTATCGTATATTCCCCATACAAATTAATTTTATCGATTCTACGAATACGACATCTGTTAAAAAAAATACCGATTTTTGTTACTACTGTTGCTTTGACACAGCTCGAGTGAACTATACGGCTATGGCTGTATTACAGACGAACTAATACAAAAGAACACACAGACTCCGATCCTGTGTATCCATATGTATTGTAAATTTTGCACAAGCAGCTACGATTGACGACTGAGTGCAGAATTTGTAATACATACGCATACACAGAATCGGAGTCAGTGTGTTCCTTTGTACGTTTACACGAGCTGTATTAAAACACCACTAGTAACGGAAATCGGCGAGTTTTTTAGAAGATGTCGTATTGGTGGAATCGATAAAGAAAAATCGACGATATTAGCGCTCATTGTATTGCGCCATCTATCGAAATATGAGATTTGTAAATTTCGATAGTGAAAGTCGCTATGCATGAAGTCAAAAAATAACATTATTTGTTTTTTTCGATGTTTTTTTCTGTTATTTTATTATTATTATTATTATTATTATTTGGAATTATGCAACCAAAAAATTGAGAAAAAGTTGTATTTAAACTGATATATTCATCATTTGTAAATTTACCCTGACTTTTCGTAGTATTTTTACAAAATGATATTGTGACTTTCATTTTGACACATTTTGTAAATTTACTACGAAAATTCAGTGTGAATTTACAAATGACTTACAACACAGTGTTCGTCGGAACATAGCGCCATCTATTGAAATAATCTTAATCTACTTAGACGAACTTTTTTGTGTGTCTATAAATATAGAATGTCACACTGTAGTTCTATAAGAGTTATTAGAGAGCTATATACGGCATATTTTTAAAATACATTGAGAGCATGTTCTGGTACATGTACTATAAGAGCTCATTTTGTTGCTTGGGATATTATTCGACACCAAATATTTTTTTTTTTTTTTGAATATTGCTCGGGATACCGAAAAAACGTTTTCTAAAAGAAAATGAACCCGAATTTTTGGGTTTCAAGTAAAAAAAAATCACGGGTCATATCTCTCGATTCATAACTTATAACTCCCAACCCTCCTGGCTTAGTGATAGGAGTTGGAGGGCAGCCTACCCAAAAAAATTCTCTCATCATTCTGAGCAACTTTGTAGTACATAATTATTTGATCCAATGATAAAATTGGGGTGTAGCAACAATCAGGGAGTATAAAAAGGAGGGCGTATATAAGGGATAAGGGGGTCAGGGACAAAAAACCAATGATGCCAATCGATAGAATACTAAAAAATACAACACTTCTGGGGGGTTTTCCTATCCCCAGACCATAATGTGGACACATTTTTACAAAAATCAACAAGTGGTCATGTTGGGCCAATTGAGAATGTTCATTTTGACGAATCCAAAAAAGCAGACATACGAATGCGACTTTTTTTCTTGCAGTGTTTGTCAAAAACTGTGTCTATATTAACTATATCTGCGACAGAGAGCAATAACTACATCTAAGCATGGTGTTGGCACTTCATCTGTCGAAAAAAGTACAGTACAGGCCAAAAGTTTGGAAACCCTGTGCAAATCTCATAGAAAATTAAGATGAAAAATAGACTTCCAGTTATCCAATTAAAATAAATTTTGGTATACTTTATCTACATATCAAGTAGATTAAAACTGCATAATTTCAAAATCAAACATTAATAACTAGTTTGAAAATTATGCATTTTAAAATGTCCAATTTTTGGGAAGCGAGACCTAAAGTACGGACAGTCGCCATTTTGAAACCACGTTAAGTATTGATGCGACGTTTTGATATTTCGTTTCTACTTAGGACATAAGAGTACCGTACCAAAATTCATTAAGATCAAATCACTGGAAGTGGAAAATTCGCACAACCGAAAAACGTCCAAAATTTTATTCAGGGTTTCCAAACTTTTGGCCTGTACTGTATTTGGTAGTCATGTTGGACCAGTGGTCATATTGGGCTCATCTACCCAGGTAGATAGGCCTACATGTATCAGGGAAGGAGAAATTAAAAATGTTTTTCTCTTGTAGGACGTGCTCATAAAATACCAATACTTTGAAAAAAAAAGCAATTTTCAGCGCTGTCAAATCAAGTTTCAGCACATTGTTATTTCTAATATAAAGTAAGATATTTTTATATAAATTGATGATAGATGGCAACAAGAAGTTTCAGAAACGGTTTTCGAAACAGTAAATTCAGAGGCCGACAAACTCGAACAAAAACGTAAATCAAAACAAAAGAACCGATTCGATGCTGATGAAAAGGAATCAGACTGCATTTTACATGGTTATATTAAAAAACTTGGTGGCGCATTTGCATCTGTATGGCAAACAAGATATGCAAAACTGTATCCAAACCGGTAAGTATCTAGTATATGGATCACATCTGAGAAATCTACTCAAACAAAGAAATGTGTAACGAAATTTTAAGATTTTATTGGACTGTAGCACGGTGCATGTTTTTTCCTTTTTTCCCGATTTTTCACCATCTACATGGAAGGTTTTTATGAAAAATACGGAAGACCGCTGAAATGGCAAATGCAAATATGGACCACCGCCATTTCAGCGGTCTTCCGTGTTTTTGAAACAAACCTCTCATCACATGGTGAAAAATCGGGAAAAATTAAAAAAAAATATATATATTTAAAATAAATACAAACATACCACTTTTATTTTCGATTTCGTTCAATTCATTATTTGCAGATAATAATTATTCTTACCAGTTTAATTAACGCAACAAACAATTTACAAAACATGTATCTGATTTTTCAAGAAGGAAAAAGTTGAAATAGTTTGACAGCTGACTTGACAGGTTGCATTTTCTATACCGTGCCAAA